AGTCCATTCAGTGTTAATGCATTATTTATTTTTTATTACTTCTTAATTTGCCATTTTTAATAGTTTTTTTAATTCAAAATTTATAAAATAGGCCCTTTTTTATTTTATATTTATTATGTAGTCCATTCAGTGTTAATGCATTATTTATTTATTTAATATTATTTGTATTAATTCTTAATTTGCCATTTTAATGTTGATTAAAATTGGCCTTTTTATTTTATATTTATTATGTAGTCCATTCAGTGTTAATGCATTATTTATTTATTTAATAATATTTGTATTAATTCTTAATTTGCCATTTTTATGTTGATTAAAATTGGCCTTTTTATTTTATATTTATTATGTAGTACATTCAGTCCATTCAGTGTTAATGCATTATTTATTTATTTATTTATTTATTATTTTTCATTAATTCTTAATTTGCCATTTTTATGTTGATAAAATTGGCCTTTTTTATTTTATATTTATTATGTAGTTCATTCAGTGTTAATGCATTTTTTTTAGGAATGAAAATATTCATAATTCCATACAAAGATTTGATTTATTAAATCAATGAGCTGTTAAGCTCTTATCATTTACTAATAAATGTGAGTGAAAACACCTGTGCTGCCATTCTTATTCTGATCACACAACTCATTGTTCATTTTATGATATTAACCACATTTAATTGGACAATTTAACTTTAGCTGCTGCTGTAGTTTTCTCACATCTGAATAACTGTTTCTGTATCGTAGGCCATAGCAGCTGACTGTAAGAGAGTGACCGTTCTGAAATACTTCCTGGAAGCTCTGTGCGGGCAGGAAGAGCCACTGCTGGCTTTTAAGGGGGGAAAGTACATTTCCATGGCAACACCTCTTACAGCCGGCGTAAATGCCGAGAACAAGATGCAAACGCAAGAACTGGTAGAGCAAACCTCTCATTTCCTGGATGTATAAAAAAGAATTTCATGTGTTTTGTTTTGCTTTTTTTCCCTGAATCATTGACAGTGTTTTTCCAGTAACCCACTCAACAGAGTGTGCGGTTCACCCTCTGGGCAGAGCACTGCTAATTCAACTGTTTTCCCAGGAGGATGATGTCATTGTGGAGGAATCGTCTCTGTCTGCTTCAGAAGGGGAGATCGATGGAGAGATTGAAGGAGACGGGAGCGAGGATGATATCAGAGAGCTGAGGGCACGGCGCCACGCTCTCACACACAAGCTGGCACAACAGCAGAAACGCAGGGACAAGATTCAGGTATCTCAAGATGCCATGATCTTTATATTTACACATTGTCTACTTCTAATGTGTTGCACCAGGATAGATCAAGCTAATGAATTAGAGCTGACAAATTGTCTGTTCCTGTCCTCCAGGCTGTTCTGCAGATGGGTGGGCAGCTGGAGATCGAGATCAGGCCCTTCTATCTGGTCCCTGACACAAACGGCTTCATAGATCATCTGGAGGGCCTGAGGAAGCTTCTGGCCTGTGGGACGTACATTCTGGTTGTGCCTCTTATCGGTGAGACCCTCTTTGATCAGTAAAATGCACGGATATGTTTCAGTCTTCCTTTCTGTCTACTGTAATGCTCCTCTGTTTTTGTGACAGTGATCACAGAGCTGGACGGTCTGGCTAAAGGGCAGGACAGTCGTGAGGGCATCAGTAATGGTGCCCATGCCCGACAGGTGCAGGAGAGAGCCAGAGCTGCGGTCACGTGTCTAGAGAAAGCCTTCGAGTCTAGAGATCCCTGCATCAGAGCGCTCACCAGCCGAGGAAACACCCTGGAGTCCATCGCCTTCCGCAGTGAGGACACCTCTGGACAAAAGGTCTGTGTTTCTTCCACTTTGTGAAAGCATGGTGGCGCTAATCTACAGAGGTTTATCCTTGGTTCAAACCTCAGTTTTATTCAATTTCCTCTTTCGTTATTGTTTTATTTTCACCTAAACCTCTGTAAGTTTGCCATCAAGTTGAGTGCTAAAGGAGAGGTGTTGGCAGGAGTGGTCAGCTAAATTTAAAAATATAGTTTTTAGCCTTTTGATGGTATATATGTTTAAATATGTATTTGCTCTGAAATAGCATTTTTTTTTTTATTATTACAGTCGGGGAATTAATCAATTTGACTAACAGCCATTTAAATTAATGCAGCCACAGAAATCGTGTTAGTTATAAAATGTTTATGATTTCCACATTATTAGTATGCTAACCACTCAAGAGTGAGGTCAGTAAGATTTTTAAAAATATAAATTAATATTTTTATTTCGCAAGGAAACATTAAATTGATCAAAAGTGACATTTACATTGTCGAAAAAAATCTGTTTTAAATAAATGCTGTCCTTTTGAACTTTTTATTAATCAAAAGTCCATCACAGGAATATTAAATTACCTTTAAAATATTTTAAAAGTTATTTTAAGTTCACAATATTACTGTATTTTGATCAAATAAATGCAGCCTTGGTGAGCATATGAACACTGACCCCAAACTTTTTAACTAGTGTATATGCACCAGTATAACAATACATAGTAATGTTCACTTAAATATTTTTTTACCAGAATAATTTTTGTTGAGTTCTGCGATGAGACAAATGAATTGTTGAATTAGAGTTTTGAATCAATCTAAGTGTGCAGTTCAAACTGATTCAAACACGGCTATGAACTTAACTCTATAGCTACTTTTGATGCTGATGGTCAAATCATCAGTGCTTTTTATTTTATTTTATTTTTTTATCAGTTAAAGGAGTAGTTTACTTTTTAAAAAAAACTTTTGCTGATAATTTACTCACCCCCATGTCATCCAAGATGTCCACGTCTTTCTTTCTTCAGTCGAAAAGAAATGAAGATTTTTGATGAAAACATTCCAGGATTTTCTCCATATAATGGACTTCAATGGGAACCAAACAGTTCAAGGTCCAAATGAGAGTTTCAGTGCAGCTTCAAAGGGCTTTAAACGACATCAGACGATGAATAAGGGTCTTATCTAGGACCCTTCGAGTCATGACTCGAAAAAAGATTTGTTCATTTTGATGAACAGGAGAGTCACGAACGCTCATCACAGAACAGAGCAAGGCGAGCATTTGTGCTTATAAAACTTAAACTTTTTTATTTATTTTTTGAATGACCAATCGTTACTCCTAGATAAGACCCTTATTCATCGTCTGGTGTCGTTTAAAGCCCTTTGAAGCTACACTGAAACTCTCATTTGGACCTTGAACTGTTTGGTTCCCATTGAAGTCCATTATATGGAGAAAATCCTGGAATGTTTTCATCAAAAACCTTAATTTCTTTTCGACTGAAGAAAGAAAGACGTGGACATCTTGGATGACATGGGGTGACAAAAGTTTTTTTTAAAAGTGAACTACACCTTTTAAGGAAAGCATCACAAGACAAGGAGAGATTGCATAATTAGTTGAATGCTGCTCTTCAGGGAATGTAACATTCAGACACAGTTCTGTGGTTCGGAAAACGTTTTCACGTCAACGTGCATCTCTAGTGTGGAAAAAACCCTTTAGAGGTTCTTTTTAAAGTTCACAAATGCACAAGGGACTACAAAGTCTATTTTAAAGCCACCCACTCATCGTCCATTTCTATCCATCTTTCCCCAGGGCAACAACGATGATGTCATCCTGTCCTGCTGTCTGCACTACTGTCAGGACAAAGCCAAGGACTTCATGCCTGTGGAGAGAAGTCAGTTCACTTATTTGTACTTGTTAGGGGGCCGTTAACATTCTCATTTTCCACTTGATGTTTTCCTCTAGATCTCATCAGCAATTTGATTTCAGCACGCTCTGCAGCAGCTGACCAGAGTCAAATCGTGCTACACCTAGAGATTGGCATGGTTTTACTTCAGTTAGCCTAATAGCTGGTTTGATTTGCATTGAAAGATGATCTTATGGAAAGTACCCCATGCCAATCTCTAGGTGTGGTGGAAGGTGTGTGATGATGATGTGGGGATATTTTAATCCCAAAGGCCAAGGGAACTTTATCAGGATGCATATTATCCTGGATCCATGAATTAACTGGCTTTTAAAAATAAAAATCTGCCTGACTCTATGGGAATTTAACATAGGGCTGTCCTGACTCCCCTTATGCACCCTGTATTTTAAGGAAAAACATTGATTTATTTATGATACATTATTCATTCACAAAGAAAATTGGTGTCCTTAAAGGTTGGAGTTTTCCTCATTTTTCTCATTTTTACGTCTCAATTTAAAGGATCCTTTGAAGCCAGCCATCGTTTCGCGTCCTTTCGAAGGATACATTAAGTGTTTTTTTCAATATCGGAATGTCACGACTAACCAATCAGAATCGAGCATGTAATAAACATACTTAAAAGCCAAGAATACTTTCTATTGTATCTTTGCCTGATTGGTTTTGTGTTCTCCTCCAGATGGGCCGGTGCGGTTGCGCAGGGAGGTGGTCTTGCTCACGGACGACCGCAACCTGCGAGTCAAAGCTCTCACACGCAACGTCCCGGTCCGAGACATCCCCGCATTCCTGATCTGGGCTAAAGTAGGCTGAACCGCAGACCTGACCTACTGCTGCACAAACCAATCATCCTCCACTGAGGAAATGATGTCACAGAGAGAGGATGAGTATAAAGGGGAAAAAAAGAGCGCAGTGACACATCAAGCTACTTTAACGAGAAAGAATGGAGGATTTCCCCCTTAAAACGCAGCGTGCATAGACGACCGCTTGCTTCGGACACGGTTGGAAAGGTTGAACGCAGCTTAGCTGATTAAAGCGATGAAGAGGGAGCAGGCGAGGTGTGCCTGTGTGAGCAGGAGAACCCAGCATCAGCTGCTCTGCTGTTTAGAGTGTCAGCTTGTAGTGTTTGCTGGCGGATGAGCTCATTCCGTCCAACGGCCTGTGATGAGGCGAGCGCTCCAGTAGGGGGCGGCGTGAGGCGACTCTGTGGCCCAAGTGGCCCCGATTGCGTTTTCTTTGCCTCCGGTGCATGCTTGGTTTGCTCTAAGCATGATTGTTTTAAAGCTCTTCGCGTATTTAAGTTTGCATTACATTTTTGACTTGGGTTTTGACAGTGTCAGGTTCTTGTTTTCATTTAGGTCTCATAAATGGTTTTGTTGTAATACACTCGATCTTCTGTAGTTGCTGTATGGAAGATGTGTCTGTGCATTTTGGATTGTGACATCTGTATTCCTATGTCAAGTAAATACTGATGTTATGTACCTCTCATGACCGTACTAATACAAACTAATCAATTCTAATTTTTTTGGGAAAATTAGGCTTTGCTGAAAATTATCTGTCTCTGGATAAACTGAACATAAAATCTGCAATTTTGAGGTAGAGCAAAACAGAACAGTTTTGTTTCCTCTCTTATAAAGTAATGGAAGATACTTGGACAATGTGGATGAGCTGTGAAGTGGCTTATTTATGCACTGCTGTCACAACCATCAAGAAAAACAATGGATGCTGTTTAGTTTGTGAATTATGTTCATGCCTGTATTTGAGTGGATCGTATGTGTTGTGTTATTTTTCTTTCCCTGAAGTATTATAGTTCTAACGGGACCTGGTATGTCATCTTGTTTGTTTTAATGGTCAAATATCATCCTCGCATTTGTGTTCTGTGGAAACAAACAGCCATGTTTGGCTTTAAGCAGCATCTGATTGAATCACCTCGAGCCACAAGTCTTCCTGATTTGTTTTTAATGTTGTGGATTTAATTAAAATTTCTGAGTTTATGTTTTGCCTTGTCACTGTTTCATACTGATTACAGCCGGTATAGTGACTGACTTCTAAGAGCTTTATTTCCAGCACTGCTAGTGAGCAGGTCAACAATGTCATTCCTTTTTCACTGTCAAAATCAATCACACGCCAATGGAGTGCCAAGATTTTTTTATTAATTAAATTTCATAATGCATACATTAAACTCTTGGTAAATCTGCAAAGTACAAACATTAAATTGAATTAGACAGAAAATCTCGGTACGCAATTATTTGCATTTCCACTGTCAAAAGTTGTGAATGGTACCAAAAAGCCGAACCGTACCACTTTTTGGGTACCCTTCTGTTGGCACAGTGAAAGGGTACTAAAAGGTGGAGCTAGACTCACTGCAGAGCGCTGATTGGTGGACAGAGTATCGTCACTCGCGCGTGCTACAAAGGCATTAGAAGCATACAGTTGAAATATATTATACTTTCATTGATTTATTGATAGTAAATAAAAATCTATGATTTATCAGTGACTGTGCACAGTGATGCACTGTTTCTGTCACATATGGCTATTGTCAGTAGTTGGGTTCTGAAATATCGGTCACTCTCTTCCCAACAGTCTGAAGTTCCCAATCAGAAAGTTGCTCCACAAATCCTCGATTTGGTCTCATACTGGTTTTGCACTTCTGAATATGAGTCCAGGCCTCCTAAAATATTCAGAAATCACAGATGACAAATATTAAAGGGATAGTTCATTCAAAAATGAATCCTTTACTCAACCTCAAGTTGTTCCAAAACAATGAATCGTTTTCTTCTGCTGAACACAAAAGAAGGTATTTTGAAGAAAATGTTGATGGGCCCCATTGACTTCCATAGTATGGGGTGGGGCACTTAATCATTTAGCAGACGCTTTTATCCAAAGCGACTTACAAAAGAAAGGAGCATTAAAATTATTTTGTGATTGAAACAACTCGACGGTGAGTAAATGATGACAGAATTTTTTTAATTTTTGGGTGAACTGTCCCTTTAAGGAAGCATCCGCTGATAACATCAATGCAAGCTCTAAAAGCAAAAGTAAAATCATTACCTTAAGTGTGTATTTCAGGTGATGCATAAGATATGCCATTGCTACCGCACAGCACCGGCTTATCCCAAGAGTGGAGAATATCAAAACCGGAGAAGCAGTATTGAGATGAGAACCTGAAATGTTTAAAAGACACATTGTCATAGTTTTGTATTGTTCATCCACTAAACAAGAAATATCCCAGTACTTACCAATAAAAGCACACATTCTCTCAAATGAAGAGCTGAAATCTGCCTCTGCAGAATCTGCAATTCGGACGTGTAGGACAGTGCAGTTTGCCTTTTTAAATCTAGTTTGCAAAGCAAAGGGTATTCAGGCAGTAATATGATCGAACTGAATTTTTTTAAAAAAATTGTATGCCTAAATAAATATGAGATGGTGGTGGGTTGGCTCACATTAGACTGCATTCATCAGAGACATTGACAAGTGCATTCAGCTTCAGATCTTTAAGGATTTGGGGGTTTGTGGCCTGCCTATAATCACCCATGTAAAGCTGACCTGGTAAGATTTCCACAGGATAGGGATTCAAGCTCTCCAATTCCTATGGATACGGGTATTTTGGTTATTAAGCATATTTATAAACAGCACAAAAACGTCCTTTATAATTTATTAAAATACTACCCTAATGTTGTAAAGAATCTTTTGCGTTCTTAGGAAAGGATAAAGTGCAGAAAACTTCTCATAGCCCCCAGTAAGAATCTGAACCGGAAAGCGGCTCGCTTTTTCTAAGCAGTCTGCACAGTCTATGGCTGGACCTAGAACAAAAATACAGTTAATATAGGGGGGTTATAAAGTGTACTGACAGATTTAGGAAATGTTATAACATGTTAGAAAGGTTAGTGTCTTACCTGAATCTAACAGAGAATGTGTATTGCTGTCATAAACAATGATGTACCTCATACTTTCAACTTCAACATCCACGGGCATAATAAACTTTCGGTCAGAATCCTTTGTAATTAGCAAACAAAATAAACCAATAACAGTACAGGATATACAAAACATAAACTTTAGGGGGCAATAAAACAAAATCTATACATACCCATTTTGCATTTCTAGCAGTAATGATATGGCTAAAGTTATACGATTCTGCTGCACGTGCATCTGAAGAGATAAGACTCACTTTTATTTTTATTATTATTTAATTTATTGGCGTTTGAATTTGCATTGAACACACAACGTACTGTCAGTATGTAAAAAATAACTTTTTAATTCTTACCAATCAGGCAAAGGTAGTTACTCTCTGCAAGCCTTGGTAGATGAGTGTATTGATTTAGGATGTTGTACAGTTTTGTTGCCTCACAGAGAACTTTTCCAGCCATTAGTTACAACTTGAGCACAGAAAGTGTGGCTGTCTGTACGTCTCTCAGGTTATCAACATCAAAATATCTCAACAACATTAAAATATTTGGCGAAAAAAATACAACAGCATATTTGCTCTTTGATGATTGTTTACGCTGCTGCTATAGTAACGGACAAAGCCCCGGGGTGATTGGCTGAAAGCTTTCCGCTGCAGATGCAAACCCCTTCCGTCTTCCTTAACCAATCGAATAGTAAGACCCGCCCCCTTGCACTTTAGCTGCGCTCCTATTGGAGGGTAAACAATAAGGAACTATTTTCAAAAGCGTTCTGCAGCTGTGGATATGGGTGGATTCTGGGTATGTTGCTAATAATTAGTTAATTCGGTGTTTAATTACCATGAATCATTAAACGATGTGTAATTCGTGTCCAGGGCCGCGGTTGTGCCTTTCATCGGCGGAGAAAGAGAAATGTCAGCAGCCGATACTGGGCCATGAAGAGCAAGAAGCCACTTGTGGCTTCTGCCACACCAACGGCTCCAGTGTAAGTAACGTTAACTGCATAACTTTTATATCTGCAAAAACACTGCCTTTTTATACACAAGTTAATTAGAAAACTGCAGACAAAATAATAATTTCTTTATTCATAACTGAAATTTACATATGCCACAAGTCAAAGTGATAACCTTGTTTTACTTGCTGAAATAAGTTACGTTAATGTTAATTTGTTGTACGGTATTGAAGAGAAAAAAAACACTACTACTTTTAAGGCCTTATTTTTAAAAATTAAAGGGACAGTTCACCCAAAAATTACAGTTGTCATCATTTACACATCCTCATGTTGTTCCAATATGTAAGGTGACCATCCATTGACTTGTACAAAGGGGTAAAGTTATATGCTGTGAGCTTGTTAAATGAAAGTAAACATGAACCAACTGTATATATATATGAAGAGTTCAGATGCAAAAGCCTCTAAGTGCCATTTGAAATTTTCTTCTAGAATGATCATTTTTATCAAGCTTGTATATTTAAGTTCAGTAATTTCACTTAAATTGCAATGAGGATTACCTATTAATTGTCATTTAAGTGAAATTACTGGACTTGAATATACAATCTTGATAAAAATGATCATTTTAGAAGAAAATTTCAAATGGCACTTAGAGGCTTTTGCATCTGAACTCTTCATATATATATATATATATATATATATATATATGTGTGTGTGTGTGTGTGTATATATATGTGTATGTATGTGTATACTTTACTTTATGGTAATACTTCCACCCAGTCCAGACAATAAAACAGAGGTGGACATTGACACTGAGAAGACAAGTGTTCAAGCCACTAAACTGTCTTCAGCACTGAGTATTAGAGCTATGTTTTCTGGAGTTGGAGGTCTCTTGCAAAAATGCAGAAAGATAATCAATCAAGTAAGATTTTATTTATGTATGTTTTGTCTTTTTTTCATTTATGAAAGTTCAAGAGAGTGAGAGCTTTCTGACTTGCTTATTAATATTATTATAATTATTTTAGATCTGTTGTGGATTCCTGAATATCTTCCTCTTCTGGAGAGGCTATGCAGATAGAGTGGAATCCCTTCACCAAAAAGTAGACGAGCTTCAAAGGCAATTGGCACTATTGCATTCCACTCTGAAGGTTTGAACATTTCGGCTACATCAATCAAAAGGATTTTCCAGTGAATTCATTGCTTGTAATGTGCATAACAAATATTCCTTTAGCTCTCTCGAGAAGCCAAGAGTGCAGGCGGTCTGTGTGCAATGCCTGATTGTGTTCAGCACTTTACACCTCTGCCTCTCTCCCTTCCTCCTCCTCCTCCTCCTCCTCCACCACCACCACCTCCTCCTCCAATGACACTTGCTGCTCCGAAAGTGTCCTTACTTCCCAAAAAAACTGCACAGACTAGCTCTCTAAAGGTAATGGTTTATTACTGCTTTGTCATATCTAATTTAATTCACTTTGTTTGTTGAGGAAACAAGCCATGGAAGTTGCCACTGTTTTCAATTTTACTATTTTCACACACACACTAATAGGAGAATCAAAGTGGCCCTGTTGCTGTGACCCTTCGAGATCTTCAAACAGTACAATTAAAAAAAGTGACTAGTGGCCAAAAATCTCAGGTGAGTGAAAGATGTGTCCTCATTTTCCGTAGTATCCTGCACTGAGTATGTGTGTGTATATATATATATATATATATATCTGGTGTTCTTTTAAAGATGCCTCCAGAGAGAAGATCGGCACTGGTCACACTTGCAGACTTGCAGAAAGTCCGTTTACGGCGCTCTAATTCTGACCTCCCCTTGAAGTTTAGGTCAAATCTTGGCAGGTGATTTTCTGCATAATTAATGTTTATTTTGTTGTAAATCTATTCTATACATTAGTTTTTGCTTCTTCATTTCTGTTGTTCTCTGTAGGACACCAACCAAAAATCCCATGAGTCTTCGGGTACCGCTTCGAAAAGTCAACTTGAACAGGCAAGATCACCTTTACTTAAAACCCTTGTTTCACAGGCAAGGCTTAAAGGGATAATTCACCGAAAAACAGAAAATTTTGTCATTAATGACTCGTGTCGTTCCATGAGAGCTCTGTTCATCTTCAGAACACAGTTTAAGATATTTTAGATTTAGTCCGAGCTTTTTGTCCCTCCATTGAAAATGTATGTACGGTGTACTGTCCATGTCAGTCCATGTGACATCAGTGGGTTAGTTAGACTGTTTTGAAGCATCAAAAATACATTTTGGTCCAAAAATAACAAAATCTACGACTTTATTCAGCATTATATTGTCTTCCGGTTGTTCGGGATTGAGAAGTCAGGAACAAGGAGCACAAGTTTTTGATGAAAAATGGGTCGTCATTTATCAACTTTACAAACTCATAAATTTCTTTCAACGAAAATAAAACAAACAGGAAAAAAAAACAGTTTGACAAACTAAAACTGACCCACTCAAATGAACAAAGCAACTGCTTATAAAGGAAAGGATGGGCCCATTACAAATTAAGAGGTTAAACTATTTAACTACATATTCAACATGCAACCTTAAGTAAATCTAAATCAAGTCAAATAGAGATATAGAGTAAATAAAGATAAGGAAAGAAAAATGTAGTCAATCAATACCGAAAATGTACAAGTAAAGTAATCAATTAAAAAAACTTCTTCCTCCCGGCATTCCCAGCGAATGGCATGTCCGGGAGGAACCTATAACACTTATACTCCACTATTTAAGCAATTTTTCTAAGGAATGTTTCTAAAAGCTACTTAAATATCCTTATTGAACTAAAACCTAATCCTGGCTTAATCTAAGCCCTGTCTGTGAAACCAGGCCATATTGTTTGAATTAGAGAATCACGTCTATCTTAATGCTTGTCACATGATATATTCTCAGGAGTCCTGGTGGCACACCGCTGTGTAACAAAGAGAATGATGGGACGGATTTAAGCCTGGATCCGAAAAGGACCAAAGGGTTGGGAAACAAGCACCTGGTATGACATGGCTATATCATGAAATTAATCTAAGTATCAGAATTTAATTTTACTATTATTCTTTTAAGGTTACCTTCTGAGTCTCTTGATAAAATGAAACCAGAAGATAATTTTATTTAACAATATAAACAATTAATTAATGACCTGAAATCTGTGTATAACTTTACAGCGTGCTTTAACAAAGGGACTATCACCAATCAAGCCTTTCTAAAGAAAGAAATGGACCATTTTAGTGCGATTTCCCATTGTGTTTTGCATGGCCTTTTGGTAGCTGTCTTGTGTTGTGTGTTTCTTTTACATGTTTACTGTAAGTGTGATAATAGCTTCTACCGGTTCTCATATTGTCATGGTACTATAACAACTGTTGTAGTGACAGGACACTATTTTATGTTACTCGCTACATGTTATTTTATATACTTGTTTGTGAAATGCTCCTTGATCCTTTTATATCAGAACGCCCTTTTTAAGACACACTCGCAAGCATAAACAGCAAATACACACTGTATGAGAATTGAATGTACATTAATATGAGCACATTTTTAGATCTTATTCATTATATAATTAGTAGAACTGTAATTAAATATGCATCTCAATGTCACTGTTACTAAGTGATTTGTGGAATGTGTAAACTGACTCAGCTGTAAAATATAGTACATACTGTGTTGAAATTTGTACAGACGTGAGACACGTCAGTTATTGAGCCATAAATTTAATATGCCATTGACGTCTTATGTGTGGTAACTTTAAGTACAGCTCTGGATGTTTTACTGTTTGTTTACAGGTGGTCTTTGAGTGTTATAGCAAAGTGATGTTTCCATGTCTTAATGTTTTATTTTAAGGGTCTTTTGCAATATTTTTCTCAAGCCACTTTTTGTATCTAAAAAGTATTACAATGAATACAAAACGTTTAATAAATACTGGACCAACACAAATTGTGTATATTTTTAATTTACAAGCAAGTGCATTTAGGTGAAGGGTTATGTTGTAATATAGTGTTTTAGTATCATTTTTATACTATCACTTCCTAATGCTGAATTTGCCTTTATATTTTATAAAGTGTTTTTCGTTTTATGTGCATTGTATTGTTTATATTTTTGTTTATGTAAAAAATTGTACTTTTTTAGATGTATATTTCTATTCAGCATTTAGTTTGATATCTTTAGTATTTAAACTTATTTCGGTTAGTAAGTTTTATTTTTTTTTTACCTCAAATGATTTAATATTTGTAGTTCTAGCTAACAAGAATACTATTTGTTAAACTAGAAAAAAGTTTGAGACAAACTTGGTAGTTTGATAGATGGAGATATATGGATGGGTAGATTAGGTTGAAAGAAAGAAAGGATGGATGGATCGAAATGAATTTATAGAAATAAAACGAAGTGGTAAGCAGTTAAAGTAGGCGCGTTTCCATCACCCTTCAAACTGAAATTGCCGATTAAAAATGCGCACATTGGAAACACGTCCATTTCGCAAAAACTCTGTGTTTTGGGTCTGTGTCCGCAAATAATAATAATAATCAATCATCATCATTATTGTAACATTTTATTAGGCTACATATGTAGAAGACGCCTTTATCAAAAAAAAAAGTAACAAAGCACAAATAAACACAATATTTTGATTCATATCCTTTCAGAGGAAACAACTTAAAATACTCTTTCATTTCTGGTCATACAGAAAATAATAATACATTATTCGCAAATACATTTATTTGCGTAAACTCACAATAACAAGAAAACGTTGTGCTTTTGTAAAAAAAACAAAAAACAAAAAAAAAAACAATCAGGCACACAAATTAAACGCACACACACGAGAATTGTAATTTTAATAAAGATTTTCTAAATTTACAAACAATTCACCATTGATATGACATAATAAGAGGTTATCTGCAGTTCAAACATTGACCACAACATTGGTCATTCACAGCTGGCATGTTCTCCCTCTACCGTCTGTGGGAAGTCAGTCAGTGGGCTAACAGCACATCCTCAATGGCGTGTTTGTCTTGTTTTAAAAGCTCTCATTGGTCAGTTTAGTAGAGGGGCGTTTCAGAATGCCGCGAAGTCTGTCTCTGATTGGCTACGCGAGTTGTCAAGCCTCGTTCACATGACAGACGTCTGTCAAGACTCAAGATAGCAACAAGAACAAGACGTTCATATAACGGTAGAACAGACCGTTGTTTATTTGTTCACTCATATCTGGGAATATTAACGTTACTTTAACCAAACACTCTCTGGAAATGCTATTTAACCCGACTGGTTTGACCGAATGTTTACAAGAATGGGAGGATCTGGAAAAAGACTATCAACAGGTTCAGGTGAGTCTTTCTTTCTCCAGTGCTACTCCGACCGCGTTCACACTGAACGCGAACAGAGCGTCAAATACGCGTCTAGTTAAACGCTTGAATTTTTCAACTTGCGCGGAAATTTGGGCAAACGAGTCATTCGCGACGCCCGGCGCGAATGATGCGTCTACTCGCGTCTTAGCATTGACTTTGTATGTAAGTTAATCTAATTGCGCAAATAAATAAATTCGCGTTCGGTGTTTGCTCTCTAACTATTTTATTTCCATCATATTTTCTTATTACCACATTTATTGATATATCGCTAGTAACCATTAACTCCACAGAAAATATGAAAAATGACATCATCATGTTATAAGTGTATTTACGTCATTGAATTATATACAATATTCGGTTACACTTTATTTTAAGGTGTTCTTGTTACAGTGTAAATATACAAACATTTAAGTATAGGGTAATATTAAATATCTACATGTCCTGTATAATATAGGATTAGTGCAGTTATGCACATATGTACATGTACGTACACGTAAAATATGTAACAAGGCCACTGTAAAATAAAGTGTTACCTAAAATTCTAATGTCTATATGTGTTGCACAGGAGACGCATCGACTTTACAAACAGAAGCTGGAGGAGGTTTCAAAATTACAGGACAGCTGTTCCTCTTCTATAGTACGGCAGAGGAAAAAGTTAAAGGATCTCTCTGAATCCCTGGAGGAGTTAGTCATCATAAAGTCATCATACTTTTCGCTTAAAAGATTATTGTTGTTGACCTGTACCATATATTCAAACTTCTTTCTTTCATAGATGCAGAGCCACAGTGAATCCAGAAGATGTAAATAAAATAGACAAGATCCAAGAATCTATAAAGGAAAGACCAAATGTCTTTTTTGAGATGGAGGCCTTCCTGCCAAAGAAAAATGAGTAATGCAAATGAGAGACATTTGATATCATCACAGTGCTTAAAATACACATTATCAGCATTTACTATTCAAAGCAGGTTATGCGACTCTGCCTGTTCCATTTCCAATACAATGTTGAAACTATAAAGACTGTAGACTAAAGGTGTGGTAAAGAATTTAATAATAACTGAATGAGGATAGTGGTGTGTGGACTTGTAATATACCTTGTTGAAGCACATATACCTACAGTATGCTAACCTGAAATACTTTACCCTGTTCTTGTTCCAGGTTGTACCTCAGTCTTGTTCTTGGAAATGTAAATGTTACACTCCTTAACAAGCAGGCCAAGTACGTTTTCAGAATCCTATTTATTATTAAAACATTCGAACCGTTGTGTTTTAACACATGAAGTGCAGCGATGATGTTAATGTTCTCCATTGTACAGGTTTGCCTATAAAGACGAGTATGAGAAGTTCAAACTATACTTGACCGTGCTGCTCTTGTTGTTCTCATTCACCTGTCGGTTTCTGGTCAGTTACAGGTACGTGTATGGTATGTTGCCACCAAACATGAAAAAAGCGGTGGTGTTAATAGTAATTTTTTTTTTATCATGGATTAAATGTTATGCTTCATGTCTCACTAATACATGTAAAATAATCAGTTTGTCTTTGCCCTCTTGTGTTTCGATAGGGCTGTAGACGCACTCTTCAATTTCCTGCTGGTGTGGTATTATTGTACATTAACAATAAGAGAGAGCATCCTCATTAATAACGGCTCAAAGTGAGAACAAACATTTGATTACGTTATACTTATTTCCTGCTAAATATTACCTCAATCCTTCAGGCTGTATTGTAAAGTTTCAAAACTTTGTTTTAGGATCAAGGGCTGGTGGGTGTTTCAACACTATGTCTCAACATTTCTCTCTGGCGTAATGCTGACCTGGTATGAATGACTTGTTTGGACCGATTCTGGTGTGATTGCTCTGTTAGTGAGGTTCATTTTGAATAAGTGCTAACTGAGACCCCTAAAATAGTGGGTCTTGGTCCAATTCCAAAAAAAACTCTGGTATATGAAAGCATCTGTGTGTCTCACAGGCCTGATGGTGAACTATACCAGATTTTCAGAAATCAGTTCCTGTCATACTCCATGTATATAAGTAAGATCAGTCTTATAGTTTTAGTAACCCTTTGATGTAATAATGATTTATTCATTGTTTTTCTTAATCTTGTTTGGTTTTCCATTCAGATTTTGTTCAGTTTCTCCAGTACTACTACCAGAGTGGCTGCTTGTATAGACTTCGAGCTCTTGGAGAAAGACATAACATGGACCTCACAGTTGGTGGGTAGTTTTCTTATCCGTTTTCCTTATTATATTGCAGATGTATCCATTAACTGATGTTTTGACATGTGCTTTATGATCAGAGGGGTTTCAGTCTTGGATGTGCAGGGGTCTGACTTTTCTCCTGCCGTTCCTTTTCTTGGGCCATGTAAGTTTGTTATTCTTGGGTTATTTTGCAATAAATGCAATCCTCACTTCCTGTTTAATGGACATCATTGTGGTAAAGACTATTTTTGGTGGCACAGAGGGCAATGTCATTTTTAAAGCTTTAGAGCTGGCTTAAAAGTGTGCTTATTGCTGACATAAAATATTAACGTGGGTATTCGGAAAAGTTCTGATTTAATAGTGGATCTTATTATCTATATCCAGTTCTTCCAGCTTTATAATGGAATTACACTCTTCCAAATGGCCCAGCTTCCAGAATGTAAGGAGTGGCAGGTCAGTGTTTCCAAATAATACACTATGTGCATATTATTGTATTCATGTATGTACTTGTTCATTTGTTTCCGTTGAAATTGTATTCGCAATATTTCCTTTTTCTTCTTAGGTTCTCATGTGTGGCTCTACTTTCCTTGTTTTGTTCATGGGAAACTTCTTCACTACTCTGGGTGTTGTTTACCACAAATACATGGATCAGGACAAAGCTAAATCTTTATAAATGATCGGCACAAAGGCACAGAACTCTTTATCGAAGCAATTTACGTTTTTTTATATGAATGTTCATGCAATTATTGTGTTAATAATGTATAATATTTTTATGACACTTTTATTTAAATGTCAGACAGTGAAGTGTTTCTTCTGTTCATGGTTCAGTATGGCTAAGTGACGATTTTTTGTGATGTGTCAGAAAGAATAAGTAATGAAACGTCCTTCCGTCTAACCTAAAATATAAATATTTATTATTTTGTTTTTATTTTATTAACTAAAATGGCGTTTTCACACCATATGTCAATAAAAGTAATGACATCAGAATATAATAACAGTGTGCATGCTTTTTTTTTTCATTTTTGAAATATCTCTGGCCCATTTTTAAAGTTAATTAGAATGCAAGTTATTGTTTGTACAAGAGAACTCGTAAGACAGACGTTAGAAGAAGAAAAAATGGAAATTATTTCCTTTCAGTGGCATTGTTGCACAATCAACATGACTTTACCATCATAGGACTATGTCAACATCTTTATGTGAGTAAGTATGTGCAATTAGCCCAATGTTAGGAAATTTGTTCAAAAAAACAAATTTGTTTTTTTATATATTTCAAGAATTTATTGAGGAAGTCCTGTCAAACAGAAATAGGAATTGGAAATACCCCTAAGTGCTTTCAGCAGAGATTTTATCATTGTAAAAGATTACTGCATCATCCTGCATTTTTAAAGGGATAGTTCACAGAAAATGTTGACAGAATTTTAATTTTGGGCGAACTTTGCCTTAAAAGCACATTTTCCAGTAAAGAATTCGCTTCATTGAGCATAACTGCATAACTTAATTCTCTTATTTAAACTAAACTCTTTTATTCTTGCCAAATACCCCAGAATAATTAGGCTCACAGACAGGCGCATTCAGTTCTCTCGAGTGGGATAACAATGCTCTCCTGTAATAGACAAACTTGTCAGAATAACACGATTTTTTTTTTTTTTTTTTTTTTTTTTTGAAGAACATGCCAAAGCGTATTAAACTGTAGAATTTGTTCAAAGTGAAACTACCAATGTTTACGTGTTAGTAACGTGGGCTATTTGCTCGCTATTTGAGTGAGGGGTGTTTGAATGTGCGACTGGCAACCCGGTGGCCGGCGTTTTAATGTGACGTATCTTGTGCTGTGCGCCGCCGTGCTCCTCCAGATAAACAGAGGTATGTGTTTCAGTGTTGTGTAACTGTTGAATTATGTTGATATTATTTCCAATTAATGTATTGTCAATCAGTTTTTGAGGTCAAGAAAAAAAACATTTTGTGCATATATGTATATACGTCTGCCCGCGCAAAAAGTGCTATGGTGGTAATAGCATGGTACAGTGATGTCATATTATACAATGTAACTTTGCTACGTGATATTAAATTATTTACCATATTAATAAAAGCTACGTCAAAGTATTCAAACAACGCCATGTTAAATGTCTAAAAAAACGCGCTAGGACTAATACTTCTAACGTTACTTTCAAGAGACGTGTTACAAAACAAGCGTTTTGTAACACGTCTTATAATATATCTATATATAGCTATAGCTTAAGCGATAAAAGTTTATTTGTAACAACGAATTTAAATTTATTACAAATTCACGACAATCCGTCAAAGGAAAATGTGTTTTGTAACTACTCATCATTATGTAATTACGCTGAGTCTTCAAAAGAGGGCACAACATGACAAAAAGTCACAATGTTTTTGACAACGTAACGTTACAGTACTTATGAAATATTATGGCACCTACATGGCCACAAACTATGCAAATAAGAATAGTTTAATTAAATAATCAGTTCATATGTCATTTTAATTATTATTTTGCTAAACTTCTGGGCAAAAATTAAATGAGCCAAGCAAGCCAAATATATGGCAAAATATTTAGTGGTCTTATAATTTTCTTAACCATTTTAATCACAAAAAATATTGTCAGGAAACTGGCATGAATTGGTTAAATACTGCAGATAAAGTAACTTAGCATGGAAGTTACTTTATCTGCAGACAGTTTTTGGTCCCATTGACTTCCATAGTGTATATTTTTTCCTACTATGGAAGTCAATGGGACCAGAAATTGTCTTCTAAATATTAGAAAATCGGCTGAATGGATTCGAAAATGGTAAAACTCAACTGTTAAACTAAGGAGTTGTAAAATGTGCCTATATCCCAAAAAAGTGGAGTATCCCTTTAAATGTAGCTAATTTCCTGATCAATAATTTGTTGTTTAGACAATTAAAACTTTGTGCTTAGCCCATTTATTCTTTTGCCCATATATATATAGATTGTACGTTCTATCTATCTGTGTAAGTGACGTGTCTGTTTTACGTGTCTATGAATGTGAAGTGAAGGCTGTTTTTGTGTAAAGCGATTGATGTTGTTTTTTAGAGTCAGTAAATACTTTCAGAGTTACTTCAGTCGATTATTAACTAATAGTAAGTGATGAAAGCAATCTGTTTTTGCAGACATTTCTCTTTTCTGATTAATGTGAAAATGGAGGACGCTGAATCCCAGCTGCTCTCGGATCAGGATCAGACTCCGAAGCCTCTCCTCGGCTCTCTGGACATCTTCCTCTTTTCTCTAATCGCCGGATTGCTTATCTACTGGTTCTTCTTCCGAAGACAACCAGAGCCTGTTCCGGAGATGAGGCCATTCGTTGCTGTGTAAGTGTCTGATTTTAACCCCCTCCCCCCTTCATTCGTCCTCAAGGGGGGGAATTACTCCCACACAGATTTTCCTGCATGGCTGAAATGCAGGTCAGAGCCATGTTTTGTGAAACACAATCACAATATCTGTGTTCCAGCCCACAAAAGTAACAAAATAGCTTTTGCTTTACAGTCCATGTATGGGACGCTAATATTTTTGTTGGACTTCCAGTTTATAGTTCTTCTCCCTGGGAACTTTTGGCTTTGTTTGAACAAAGCATGGTTTCTGCACCATGAAGCACTTTGTGGTTCAGTCGGTCATGGGTTCCAGCATTGCAAAGTGTTGACATCATGGGACTGAGAGTATATGTGCGTGTGTTATGGTCTGTGGCAACTGAGACGCACTTCATATACACCCTGGTTATGTGTCAACAGCTAGACTACATTGTTTACGAGTTTTCATTCATAGATGCGTCAAGTTGGTAAATTAATTTCCTGTCTGGTTTTCACAATGCTGAACAAAAGCATCAGTGCCGTGGTTAACATATCAAACCGTGAGGTAAACATAGATGGTGGTATTAAATATGAGCACTGTTTGTTCAGATGGAGTCACGGGATGTTATTCTTCCTGAATGCTTCCCATAATCCTGGCTTGTCAATTGTGGTGTTGTATGTTGTGACCTATTCACCCTTGCAAACAAAGAAAGCCCTGATGACTCAAGGCAAGCTTTGAGGTATACTAGTACAGATTTCTGAAGGATCATGCGACACTGAAGAGGAATAAAATATTTCACACTGTTTTACTGTATTTTTTTTTATCAAATAAATGCAGTCTTAGTGAGTATAAGAGACTTTTTTTTCAAAAGTGGTCTGGGCAAACCTTCGAACGGTAGTGTACGTGGTCTTTCCTTGTAGACATCATCACCAAATACAGCAGCAATACATAAAGAGTAGAAAAAGCAGCAGGAAATGATGTGTAACTAAAGAACTATAGTGTCAGGAAGAGATGTTTAGAGAGCAGGAAAGGATTTCTCTCCGCTTCCTGGTTCACATTACTTGTGTTGAAGGATTGCTGCCAGTTTAGGCCATCTTGAATCACTCCACTTCTCTTGTTCCTTTAGTTGTTTTAATCAAATGCATTGCTTTTGTGACATCTGCAGTGAAACACATTTGTATTTCACAAAAAATGCAATCTGTTGGCTTTTGTTTTAGTGCTCGTTTGTATTTTATTAGGTTGGGAAAGGGTTTGCATTGGCAAGATTTTATTTATTTATTTATTTACCTTTATTTTTAGCAGGAAATAGTCCCATTGAGATTCAGAATTCGGAGTCCTTGCCAAGACAGCAGAATATAGTTCCATATTAAAAAATACATATACAAAAAGCAAACAATTTTGTACAATTTACATAATCTCAACATAATTACCCGCAGCTCAGTAACAGTACATACGCATCTAGTATTCAAATCCTCCTTTTAAATTGAGTCATTGTTGGAAAACAGTCAAATTTTAGCTGATTTTGCAATTTATACCTGGAAAACGGTGCAAAAACTTTAAAGGCATTTTCACCAAGGCATTGTCTATGGGTGTTTAAGGTTAAGGGGGTTCACTAACAGCATTGTGCAGTAGAGATCCATGGGAAATGTTAGATATTCATGTTGCTTTGCAACGCTGTGCTCTAGCCAGATGGCGTGAGAGAGAGAGAGAGAGAGAGAGAGAGAGGGCGAATGAGCCTGTCTCAGACCCCTGCCTTCCTCACGCCCCCTTCCCTACGCTGAAGATCTATGTGTTTCCTACAGATCCTCCTAATGAACTTTTACAGACTTTCTTAGGCTGTCTGAGCTCTTGATCCAACCCTTTTAGAGACGAAAGTGCTCCGTATGCAGAACTCTTAAAGACAGCGTCTTTTCCCCAGTCATGGGATGCATGTTCTCTTTGCCTCAGGACAGACTGGCCGCCGCAGAGAGGTTAGTCCGGGACAAAACGGATGTTTCTTCTGTTGTCATTTATGGTTTTGTGGAATTGCTTTCGCCCCTAATGATTGCTTATTGTTTTGTTTTGTTCACCTGAATTAATTGTTTTGTCTTTCTACACTGCCACAAAGTTGTTGTATCAGTGAATGGCAAAATGAGGTGCTAATCTGGTGGAATGCTGCATGGATTCTGGATGAGAATGACTAAATTGTTTCTTTAATGTGGAATTATAGTGAAGTATAGGGGAGGACTCCATTGATTTGCACTGTGATTTCTTGCCAGTCCAATGATGGTCGTTTAGTCATTTGATAGTTCTAGTAGTTGATAGCGACGGCCACCATATCGGCATCGGCTGATATCGGTTTATTTTAATGTCATCATTATCGGCCCAATAGGAAAATTTGTCTGATATGTTAAAGCCGATATATAGCGTATTATCTCCTTCAGCTGAGACTCTTTATATGCACACTGTTCAACATAATGAATGCTTTGAATTGCTTGAAATATGATTGGAATCACTTCAAAAAAGGAAAATGTGGTTCAGTCTGTAATATCGGTTACATAAAATTATAAGAAGAACATCATAATTATGTGTTTGGGATGTGACTTTTACTGGTGAGGCTTTTGTTTTTGTAATCAGGCTCTCAAAAATTACACACAAATTTGGATTTGCATTTATCGGCCGATAAATCGGTTAT